CCAGGTTCGTTACCATTTCTCCTTCCCATAGCTGACCCCCATTGAGCGTTATGCCATGAAATTCCTGGAAGCCTCACTGGAGGAGGTGAGCCGGGAGGAGCTCAAGCAGGCAGAAGTGAGTATTTCTAGGGGGTGAGGATGGAAGTGGGAAGTTGCTGCTTTCTACCCACTCCCCACTCTGTTTGCCTCCCTCTGACCACCCACCTTTTGGGCTCTGTTGTTGTTAGGAGCAAGTGGAAGCTGCCCGCAAGGACCTGGACCAAGCCAAGGAGGAGGTGTTCCGCCTACCCCAAGAGGAGGAGGAGGGGCCAGGGGCTGGGGATGAGGTTTCCTGTGGGACTGGTGGAGGCAGTCACCGGCGCAGTAAGAAGGCCAAGGCCCCTGAAAGGCCAGGGACTCGCGTCAGTGAGCGTCTTCGTGGAGCCCGGGCTGAGACTCAAGGGGCAAATCACACTCCTGTCACATCCACCCATCATACCCGCAGCACTTCCACACCCCCACGCTGTAGCCCCGCCAGGGAGAGAGTTCCCCGGCCAGCACCTAGGCCTCGACCCACTCCAGCTTCAGCTCCTGCTGTAATTCCTGCCCCAATCCCTGTTCCAATCCCTGCCCCAATCCCCATTTCGGCCCCAAATCCAGTAACCATGCTTCCTGTTCATATCTTGCCTTCTCCTCCACTTCCCCCTTCACAGATTCCTCCCTCTTGTTCTTCTGCCTGTACCCCTCCTCCTGCCTGTACCCCTCCGCCAGCTCATACCCCACCTCCAGCCCAGACCTCTCTCTCAACTCCTTCCTCCCCTCTCTTGCTTGGTCTACCTTCTGTGCCCATCTCCCCCCCAGTCACCAACCTCCCCTTGGGCTTAGGGCCTGAGACAGAACTGTGTGCACAAGCATTGGCGTCCACCGAGTCCCCGGAGCTGGCTGATATGGCCAGTTCCGAGACTTCCCCACTTACTCTTGTGCCCCCTAAGGATCTGTTGCCAGTTGCTGTTGAGATCCTGCCTATATCAGAGAAGAACCTTTCTCTCGCCTCTTCTGCACCTAGCCCAACCCTGGAGGCTGACAGCGTCCCCAACGGTCAAGAGCAGGAAGTGCCAGAGCCTGCTGAGGGGACCATCCTCACAGTGCTGCCTGATGGTGAGGAGGTGCCCTCGTGTCTGAGTGAGAGCAATGGGCTGGAGCTCCCACCTTCAGCAGCATCTGATGAGCTACTTCATGAGCCATTGGAGGCTGACAAGAGCTCAGAAGAGCTGGTGGAGGCCCAGACCCCAACCTCCAGCCCAGAGAAGCCGCAGGAACTTGTTTCAGCAGAGGTCACAGCCCCATCAACCTCATCCTCCACCACCTCTTCACCTGAGAGTCCTTCACCTGCCCGGCCCCCTCGGCGTCGCACCAGTGCTGATGTAGAAATTAGGGGTCAGGGGGCTGGTCGGCCAGGGCAGCCTCCGGGCCCCAAAGTGCTTCGCAAGCTGCCGGGACGGCTAGTGACTGTGGTAGAGGAAAAGGAACTGGTGAGGCGACGGCGACAGCAGCGGGGAACTGCCAGCACCCTAGTGCCTGGGGTCTCTGAGACTGGTGCCAGCCCAGGAAGCCCATCTGCCCGCAGCATGTTGGGGCCAGAATCCTCACCTCCCACCAGTGGGCCCTGTGAAGCTGCTCCCCCATCCACACTGCCCACCCCAACCCAGCAACCCTTCATAGCTCGCCGTCGCATTGAGCTGGGGGTGACCAGTGGGGGCAGCCCAGAGAACGGAGAAGGGGCACTTCTTGCCATCACCCCTCCTGCTGTGAAACGTCGGAGGGGGAGGCCCCCCAAGAAGAACAGGTCTCCAGCAGATGCTGGGCGAGGGGTGGATGAGGTACCTTCATCCACGTCTAAGGGAAAAACCAATGGGGCTGATCCAGTTCCTGGGGCTGAGACCCTTATTGTTGCGGAGCCTGTCCTGGGACCCCAGCTTAGTCCTGGGCCCCAGCCTCTTGGACCCCAGCCAATTCACAGACCCGAGCCCATCATCTTATCACCTGTGGAGAAAAGAAGGCGTGGGCGGCCCCCTAAGGCACGAGATTTGCCCATTCCTGGGACCATTTCCTCTCCAGGGGATGGCAACCTAGAAAGCCGGACACAGCCACTCCCACTACCACCTCCCCTGCCACCACTCCCACCACTCCTAGCCTGTCCCACTGCTACTGTCGCCAACACTGTCACCAATCTCACCATTTCAACATCCCCACCCAAGCGGAAACGGGGTCGACCTCCCAAGAATCCACCATCACCTCGGCCCAGCCAGCTCCCTGTCTTGGACCGTGACAGCTCTTCTGTCCTCGAGAGCTGTGGATTGGGGAGGCGGCGGCAGCCCCAGGGCCAGGGGGAGAGTGAGGGTAGTTCCTCTGATGAGGATGGAAGCCGCCCCCTCACCCGCCTGGCCCGCTTGCGGCTTGAAGCAGAGGGAATGCGGGGACGAAAGAGTGAAGGGTCCATGGTGGTGGCTGTAATTCAGGATGACCTGGATTTAGTGGATAGTGGGCCAGGCGGGTTAGAATTAACACCTCCCGTGGTCTCCTTAGCTCCAAAACTGCGCTCGACCCGGCTGCGTCCAGGGTCTCTAGTTCCCCCACTAGAGACTGAGAAGGTGCCTCGCAAACGGGCAGGGGCCCCAGTTGGCGGGGGTCCTGGGCTGGCAAAGCGGGGCCGCCTACAGCCCCCAAGTCCCTTGGGGCCTGAGGGTTCTGTAGAGGAGTCTGAGGCTGAAGCCTCAGGTGAGGAGGAGGAAGGGGATGGGACCCCACGTCGCCGACCTGGCCCCCGTCGACTTGGTGGGGCCACCAACCAAGGGGACCAGCGTATCCTGCGCAGCAGTGCCCCCCCACACCTGGCTGGCCCTACTGTTAGTCACAGAGGCCGAAAGGCCAAGACGTGAATGGGCTGCCCCTCCACCTGGGCTTTCCGCCGTGGCCCCTCTCTCTCCACAACCAGGCCTGACTCTGTTAACCACTACTTGAAGTCTTGAGGGGGAAAGCCTCCAGGGAGACATAGGGGCCTTCTCCCTTCTTTCCACCAAAGTAGGGGGTAGGCAACTGGTTGTCATGGAAATGGGGCTCTTCACATACCCCCTTCCCTTCCACCCCACATGGCTGGGCAGTGTTAAGGGTGGCAAGATAGTCTCTGTCCCCACCCCCTTGTACTTGATTCCCCAGCTATCTTTCACAGCCCCCACCCTTAGGGGAAGGGGGAGGGGCTTCTCTCTACCATGAGTTTTTTTTTTCTTTTTTTTTTTTTTTTAAGAAGAAAAAATAATAAACTTAGTTTCTGTATGAGCATCCGCGTAAGGAGGCTTCTGATTTTCTGGTCTGGTGGAGGGTTGGGTGGGAACTTGGGCATCGTTTTCCTCCTCTCTCTTGTTTGTGTCAAAACCCTAATACCTGATCTCTAACCCAGAATTATGTGTCTTTGAGGTAGAAATCACCCAAGAAGAAAGGAGATTGGCACATCTGATCTGGTAGGGTGCCTTTCCCTAAAGTTTCAGTTTTAAGTCACTCCAACTCCTCCTTTTTCTCTCCTCCTGTTCCTTTAGTTCTGGACTTTCCCTCAAGAGTTCTTTGATTCCTCAGGCTTTTCCCTGCTTTTACTCCTCTTGCTCAGGTGCTTTCACTCCTTTTCCAGAAGGCAGGCATCCTACCTCCAGTTGTTCCATCCCCCTTTTGCTTCCCTCTGTCTAGCCAAACTAGTTTGAGTCAGCCACACCCCCTTCTGAGCTCCTGGGGCTTTTCAGGTGGTGGCTGGCCACCCAACCCCACCCCTGGGCTTGGCTTGGAGACCTGAGTCAGCTCCATCTCCACCCAAGCCAAATCAAACCTGAGGCAGGAGCCGAAACTCACAGTCCCTCAAGGCCTATAGCCAGGTAAGAGCCCCTGTTCATTTTTACTTTTTTGTTTTGTTTTTAATCACTCTGGACCCTCTCTTTGCATTCTCCTCCTAATGACTATATCTGTTTACCTCATCAGTTCTTTCCCCATACCCACTCTTGAGCCTTGTGGCAGAGATTCTTTGGGCTCTTATCTTGCCTTCTCTCTTTCCATCTATCCTTTATTATGTTCAGAGAACTGTAGATGGTTCCGTTTTGTGTAGAATGTAGGAGGATGGTTGGAGCTGAGGTTGGAAAGGTGGTTTGATGCCAGAGCTCAGAGGACTTGAGAAGTTAGGGGAATGAGAAATGATTAAGCAGGGTGTTGTCATGTAGGTTTCTGTGTGGGTTATGAGGTCAGAGTGGGCCTGGGCTAAAATGGAAAGTAGAGGTGGCAGGAGTCAGCATAGCAAAAGAGGCCCTGATTTAGGAAGGTAAGGATTTTCTGATGTTTGGTGTCCTCAGCTATAAAAAAAAGCTTAGATGGATACTTTTCCTTTCCTCCATCCCTGTGTTTTCATCCACTGTTTTCACATGAAATGACTGCTTTGCTTGAAGTGGGGTGTAGGGCTTAGGGTGCTATTTTGTGACCCCTCCTTAATATTCAGGGGCAGCCTCTGAGGAACTTTAGGGAATGTTAAGGCCCATCGAAATAGTGTAAAATCACTGACTTGAATAGTCTGATTCCCAGCAGCTTTTGAGATTGTTTTCTCCTGCTTGTCAGTGTGTTCCTGTCATTTTCCTTTTCCCTTCGTATCAAAACAGTAAAACAGATAATGTGATATTCACACCAGCTTGCCTTTAAAGGCTCCGAATCTTAGACTGAGAAGAAAGGATTCCGGCCACACATTTCCTCTCTTGGTCTATGAGTCACCAGAGGAATTCCCCATAAGGCAGCATACCTGAGAGTTGGGCTAGGTCACGAGGACAGATCAGAGAGAGGGGTGGAGTCTGAGCAAGCCAGGCCAATGGCTCAGTTGTTGGGCTTACAAGTACCTTGACTGTATCGCCCACAGGTGATGGAGGACGAGGAGAAGGCAGTGGACACCTTGGTGAGCAACATGGAAGCTGCTCATTCTCCATCCCCCATCCGCTGCTGCTGGCTCCGCCTCCGCTACCTGGCAGCTACTAGCATTATCTGTGGCTGCTCTTGCCTGGGAGTCGTGGCCCTTGTGTTTGCCATCAAGGTGAGGAATGCAATTCCTATGGGAGCCAGGGAGGTGGGTGTAGTTAGGCAATGGTTTGGTGTATCTTATCTATCTACAGTGATCACACAGTTACTAAGTACTTGTCAGAGCTTGGCTCTGGGCCTGCTGTCAGAAATAAGAATAAGACATGGTTCCTGCTGTCAAAGGGCCCACAGTCTAATGAAAAAGAGAGAACTGTGAAAATGGATAATTATTACTGGAATGCGGGTCATCAGTACTGTGATGAACACAAGGTATTTTGGGAGCTAGGGAGGAAATGTATGTGTGATTACATACATGTGTATAGTAGAGTAGGTGACAGGAAAATAACCTTAGAGGATGAGTGACTAAAGGTGAAAGGGCATTCCAGGTAAAGGGAGCAGTGTGTACCTGGGCTATTAGTTCCGCATGACTGGACCAGTGAGGAATAGTGACAGATGAAGCCAGAGGGCCCAGATCCCCAAGGGCTTCCAATGCTGTGCTTGTGCTTAGAGTTGAAACTATCTTCAGAGTACTGGGGAGTACTTTCAAGAGTGTTTGGAGAGAATGACACGGTCAGGTTTGTGTTTCAGTGGAGATCTGCTCTCAAGGCCTACATGGAAGATGGATTGGAAGGGGCAGGACTCGAGGCAGTTGAGCAGCGATTAGAGTGATCTGTAGCAGTCGGGAAGAAGCTGTGGAGTCTTTGAGAGGCCTTCACCATTTCCAAACACCTAACCAAAACTGCACGTGTACCTTTTGAAAGACCACACGGGCCAACTTAAACATCATGCTGGAATTTTTCTCAATCCTAGTTGTATTTTAACAATCAGAAACTATTCTTATCATCATGAGAATTTCTGGGCTTCATTAGGTCAAAATCAGAATCCTTAATAACGAGAGAGATGAGGCCCATTGGGCTAATGAGAATGGAGTGCTGTTTGACTGGACGGGAGGCTGAATACTCCAAGGTAGTTCACTGTGTCTTGCCAAGGGTTCCAAATTCTGAATGAACCTGGAATGAATGGAATAAGATTAGGAACAAAAGGAGTGAAAAGTACTTTCCCATATGTGATCTTGTGAGCTAACAATGGCTACACAGAGCAGAAAGCTACACAGAGCAGAGTGGGCACCTTACTTTGCAGATGAGGCATGAGAGACAGACATTGGAAAGGGAGGTGGGGGGTTTGGACGTCAGGTTTTGAGCCGTGACAAGGACGGAGGATTGGTGTGGGGCAGTGGGCACTTTGGGCAGAAGCAGGAGGAGAACCTAACCAAAAACCTGCCCCCACAGGCGGAAGAGCGGCATAAGGCAGGCCGGTTCGAGGAGGCAGTGCACTGGGGGGCCCGGGCCCGGAACTTCATCCTGGCCAGCTTTGCCGTCTGGCTTGCTGTCCTCATTCTGGGCCCCCTACTTCTGTGGGTGCTCTCCTACGCCATCGCCCAAGCTGAGTGACCCTGGGTGGCCTCTGCTGAGAGTCAGCGAGACCTCCTGGATCCTGCAGTGCAGCATTGCTAGGGTCTGGGGCGAGAAGTGGTCCTTCCTGGCTGGAAGGATGGTGCCTCTCTCAAAGGGCTTTGGAAGAGATCTTCTAGACCTTTCTAAAAGGAGGCAGCAGCTGAGACTGATGAGGGGAGGCCAGCCTGCTCTGTTCTGTCAGTGCCCACCAGCCCCTATTTCCCCCAGCTCACCGCATCCTAGGGGCCTCAACCCAGAGGTGGGGTTGAAAACCAGGCCTGGTTTTATTAGAATTTGTTTTGTAATAAAAACCTTTTTTAGTGGTGAAATGCTCCTGTCTAATTGTTGTTCCCCTACTTTCCCCGGGCTCTTGGCAAGAGCCAGACTGGATATGTGACGGATGGGCAAAATCTGCATTTTCCTTTACCTAGAGGCTCCAAGAGAAGGAAAGGATTCTTTCTCTCTCTCTCTTTCTTTCTTTCTTTCCTTTCTTCGTTCCTTCCTCCCTTCCTTCCTTCCTTTCCTTCCTTTATTTCCTTTCTTTTCTTGTTTTTTTCTTCTCCTGGAGGTTTCCCTTCTTGGAAAGACCCAGCTTCTCCCTTGCACATCAACAGAGACCCTGTGGCCAGATAGGAAGAGTAGTAGCAGCAGCTACTATTTACTGAGTGCTTACTATGTTCCCGGCTGTGTTCTAAGCACTTTACATTTCTTGATTCCTTCAGTCCTCACAGTTACTCGAGAGCAGTTACCACTGTTTTCATTTTATAGCTGAGAAAACAGGCACCTAGTGTCACCCAGCTAGTGAGAGGCAGAGCTGGGCTTGAACCCAGATAGTTTGCTTCCAGATTCAAAAGAGGAATGGAAGGGCTGGATAGCAGTCACAGGTAAGTCTCTGCCCTGTGTATGAAACTTTGTAGGATTATAATGAATTTTCATATCTTGGGCCTCATGATAATCTTCAACATATTTTAAATTGTAAAGTATATCATACATGCAGGAAAATAACCCAAATAAATACAGAGCATATAAATTAACACAAAGCAAACATCTGAAAATCACCATTTAGTCAAGAAATTGAACATTGCCTGTACTCCAGAACCTCCTTTTATACCTCTCCGAATCACTACTCCCTTTCTTCCCACAGATAACTACCATTCTGATAACTTTTTAAGTTTGTTTATTTTGAGAGAGGATATGAGTGGGGGGAACAGCAGAGAAAGGGAGAGAGGATCCCAAGCAGGCTCTGTACTGTCGGTGCAGAGCCCAACGTGGGGGTCAAACTCATGAAACTGTGAGATAATGATGGATGCTTATCGACTGAGCACCCCAGGCATCTCCCATTCTGACTTCTAACAATGGAGTTCAGTTTTGCCTGCATTTGATTGGTATATAAATCGAATCATATTATTCTTTTCCTGTCTGGCTTCTTTAACATTATTGCTGAGATGCATTAATATTTGATTCAGCTGTAGTTTTCATTACTGTATAGTATTCCATTGTATGAATATATTACAATTTATCCACTTTCTGTTGGTGGACTTTTGGGATGATTACAATTTGGGGATATTCTGAATCCTGCTGTGGAATCCTTGTACGTGTCTCTCGAAGTACATGTGCCCCGCGGATTGAATTTTGGGGTTATTTTACCATAATTCAGAGATTAGCAGAGCACCTAAAGAAATTAGAGATATTTGTTGCACACTGGAGAGAAGATTAAAGGGGAAAAAGAGGCACATGATGGCTGTCTTCAGTGTTCAGAAGTGCTTCAGGAAAGAAAAATGAAGAGAGTCTATTGTTGGCCCCAGAGGTTAGAGTTACAGAGGTATGGATAGAATTCATTCATGCACTGGCACTCAATCTTGTCTTCACAATAGAACCACCTCAGGAGCCTTAAAAAGTACTTAGTGCCTGGGCTTTACCCCTAGAGATTCTGAATTGGTATAAGGTGCTGTCTGCACATCAAAATAACACGTTTTAGATTTCATACATAAACTTTTTTAAAGCTAGTATTTCATTAATCAGCTACAGTTTACTAGAGGAGACTATCCCATTCCCCCAAACTGATTAAATGAGGTCTTGTTATTTTTAAACTCAATTTTGAAAAATTTCAAGCCTACTGAATAAAAGAATAGTACAATAAACTTGTGTGCTTTTCACCTAGAGTAATAATTTTTTAACATTTCACCAGAATTGTTTTCTATCTTTCTAAGTGCACATGCTGTTTTTGTGGAACCATTTGAGAGTAAGTTGAAGGCCCTTCTTTCCTAAATACATAACAGTTTAAAAAATGCTTATTTATTTTGAAAGAGAGAAAGCAAGACCCGGGGAGGGGCAGAAAGACCGAGAGAGAGACTCCCAAGCAGGGTCCTTGCTGTCAGTTTAGAGCCCAACGAGGGACTCAGTCTCGATATCTTGAACTGTGGGATCATGACCTGAGCTGAAATCAGGAGTCTGTTGCTTAATTGACTGAGCCACCCAGGCACCAGTGTCAGCTTTAGTGTGAGTATGGTCCCAGATTGTTTTTAAATTCAATTTGTTAGATCCATTACTGTCATTCTTCTTAAAATGTTTGGGTGAGGTATAATTTATATGAAGTAAAGTACACAGATCCTAAGTGTGCCGTTTGGTGAATGTTTCATATGAAAACATCTATATAATCACCACCTAGATGAGTAGAACATTTCTAGCACATCAGAAGGCTCCCTCATGTTCCCCTCAGCCTCATTAATCTTTGTGTTCCTGGTTTTGACCAGTGGATATTCCTTCAACCTGGTTCTTGTGTCCTGCTACTTCTCCACATTTCTTCACTTAGTTTCTGGCACAAGCTTGAAAATTGGCCATTTCTCCTGAGGAGTCCTGTGGTTTCTTGAACTGAGGACTGTTCCTTTAAAATGACTAGAAGGGCGCCTGCGTGGCTCAGTTAGTTGAGCTTTCGACACTTCGGATCAGGTCATGATCTCACAGTCTGTGGGTTCGAGCCCCGTGTTGGGCTGTGTGCTGACAGCTCAGAGCCTGGAGCCTGCCTCGGATTCTGTGTCTCCCTCTCTCTGCCTCTCCCCCGCTAGCTCTCTGTCTCTGTCTCTCAAAGTAAAGACCTAAAAAAAAATAAAAAAATTAAAAAAATGACTAGAGTAGGGTGGGTGGCTCAATCGGTTAAATGTCTGACTTCAGCTCAGGTCATGATCTCACGGTTTGTGAGTTTGAGCCTTGTGTCAGGTTCTGTGCTGACGACTCAGAGCCTGGAGCCTGCTTCAAATTCTGTGTCTCCCTCTCTCTGCTCTTCACTCACACTCTGTCTCTCTCAAAAATAAACACTTTTGAAAAACTTTAAAAAAATAAAACGACTTTAGTTGTACTCATTCTTCTGGGATGTTATTGCTTCTAGGCCCTTTCAGAGGTTAGAGCTAGAACATACCTAATTTTATCTGTTTTAAATCTGTTTTTTAAATCATACGATTTTAATCAGTCATAAAGTTCTTTCTCCTTTCCCCATCCCAAATTTGATATTCCCACAGAAAGAACCTTGGCTAGCAGCTACATCAACATGTTTATTCACTTGCCCAATTTCGGAATAATTATCCCATCATGCTACCAAACAATAAGCCTACTAAAGTTCAAGGTTTCTTTGCAATTATTTTGTTTAGATTGATGGTATAAAGTCAGTGTATTCTGTTAAAAAGTTACTTGGATTCGCTTTTCTCCTATGGTTGTGATCTCAAAGTGACATTTCTGAGATAGTTGCTAGAAGATTAAATGAATTCATCCTGTGCCTCTTTTATGCTAGAACATAGCCTCCACGGGGGTGAGGATCCCCCCCCCCCCACCCGCCCCCGCCACTGCTGATAGTCTAGCGTAGCGTTTAGACGCTCGGCAAATATTTGTTGAATGAGTAAGTGAATGCCAGGGTTGAGCTATGCACTGAAAAGGCTTATGAAGTAAGTTGCTCCGGGCAGTATCTCACACAACTCGGCAGGCTTAGAACAGTGTGATACTCCCCCGAGGCTTTTGGGAGACGGTGTTGGAAATCTGGGAAAATGTATGACCCCAGATGGTGGGCACAGGGCTTTGGAGATACTCAAGAGTCGCATCAACCAGAGGACTCGGAAGCCTCTTGTGGTTGACAGGCTCTGGCTCATCCAAGTCCTCACCTAGTGGCAAGTAGGGGGTCCAAGCTGCGTGCTCTGAGCATTTTTTGTGTATTTTTGAGAAAGCAAGTACACAAGGGTGGGGGGGTGGGACAGAGAGGGGGGAGACAAGGACCCTAAGCACCCTCTGCACTGACAGCAAAGAGCCCAATGCAGAGCTTGAACTCACAAACCCCTAAGATCATAATCAGAGCCAAAGTCAGATGCTCAACCAAATGAGTCACCTAGACGTCCACTCCAAGCCTTTTAAGAACAGGAGGTGAACCTGAGAGGCAGCTAGTCCTGAGACCCAGATACCCAGAAGTCACGCTTCCGGGTAAACCTAAACTTCCGGGTACCGTTGAGCGCCTCTAAACCCTCTAGTCGGCGAGCCCCGCCCATTGCTGTCCCCAGCAGATGCTGTGCGCTGATTGGCTGCATCTGAAGACCCACCCCAGCGCCGCAGCCTTAGGTAGCTCCGAGCTCTAACGCCCGCGCCAGTCTCGGGACTCTCCGCTTCCTATTGGACTACGAACTTCCAATCGGAAGGGTTTTTGAACCTCAGTCTGTAGGCGGCGCTGACCACTCGCCGACGGGATGGGGGCGGGGCCTGAGGTCGTTGCCGGCGCCGCCCCGGGGGTAAGGTGAGTGACTGGAGGCGAACCCTGAGACCGATCGTCTTCGCGTCGACCCTGGCTTCTCTCTCCTCGCCCGCCGGTGAGCCTGCGCGAGACCCCTCGCCCCCTCCCAGCGCCCGCCCAAGTGCGCCTGCGCAGCAACAGCCGCCTGCCCGTGTGCCCC